GGTCTACTCTTCTTCCCAGCACAGTTTCAAAAAGGTACACAAACAAAGTCAATGGATCTAGACAAGTTAAAAGACGTAAGTCATGTGATCAATCTTCATATCATTAGCTTGATTAAGTCATGCATCTTGTTTCCAAAACAAAAAACTACAAAAATTCTTTTGGAGAGACGCATAACATAGCAGAAAATCACATTCACAAAACCAACTTTATAAGTTATGTACGATTCCAATTCCTAATCTAGCAGGCACATAAACTGATTAAGTCATGTATGGTTCCTATTCTAATCTAGGAGACATATATATGCAGTTTCAGAGATTCACAACACCAACCTTATAAGTTAAAATCCGAAATCCCAATAGCTTAAATCAATAAANTAATAAAGAACACACTAGAAACCATTGAAGTTTTCTTCAACCTTTAGAATCCAGAGATAAAATTACATTCTTAATAGTTGAAAANCCAAAACAAAAATAATTGAAGCAGAGAGTCAAGTTACCTTAATTGTATATGAGACTGCTCTACGGCGGTTTCTCCAAATAAACGTGTTTAGTTGCGGTAAATTAATATGAAAATAATTGGAACTAAACATGAAATTAATTCTCTCTGGGATGAAAAATTTAGCGGGATCTGAAAAGAGATTTATTGAACAAATTTCTTTCTACAAAATATAACGGTTTATAAGTTGTATGAGAAATTAACGCTAAAAATCAGATTCCATACCTCTAATTAATCAACTGGTGTTCATAAAAATAATATTTTGTAATGCTAACTAGTTTTATTTAATTTTACTTTCTTTAGGACCATGGATTTTACGGATTCAGAGACACAACCTCCGGATGATTTATCACATTTGGAAACAAATTACAATAATATGCCTCCTCCACTTGCTCCAGAATGTAACAGTTTCAAATGAAAAGTACAAGTGATAGGTAATATGAATCCACTAAGTAATAATTATATATTTTTTAGTTGGGAATTTTTTTGGCTCGTATATATGTTAATTTGATTTATGATATACTAATTCAATTTTTTTAAAAAATCTATATGTATTCATCAACAAGATACTGATGGGAACATAGAATAGAAGGCAAAATGGTGACATCGAGAGATGTCTTGAAATTCCAAAACAGCAAAGTGATTGTGCATTTTGATGAAGATTGTGGTCAACCAATTGGAGATTCTGGAGGTTTACTTGGATCGTCGTTAGGTCAATTAAGCCATGATGTGAATTTGCTACCCATTAACTACATCGATTGGAGGACTGTTAATCCTCACACAATAGAAAGGGCATGGGAAGTAATTCAGGTAACATCTTTTTATCTCGATAGATTATGGGATGTTCTAAGACAATAATTTGTCTGATGACTCATTTTATGTGGTGTCATTTTAGGCCAAATTTCAGTTTGATGATCCGATGATGAGAAACGAATATGTGATGAGTGCATTAGGTAGCAGATGCAAGGATGTCAAACGTCGTCTTTGGAAAGATTACAAACAAAACAACCTGAGTGAAATGTTGCAGAATCAACCTGTGGTCGTTNCNGAGGACCAGTGGCATCATTTCGTTCNCATAAGGTTCAGTGAAAAGTGGCAGGTATGGAGTATTCGTTGGATACTTATATGTAGTTGTATATCTCTATACCAAATGCAAGTAACTTTTTAAATATGTGAGTTTTCAGAGAATGCAACAGCGAAATATGGAGAACCAAAAAAAGAATACCATGCCTCACGTGTGTGGAAGAAAGAGTTTTCCAAGGAGAAGAGATGAGATTGTAAGTAACTTAGTTGTGCTATAAAACGAATATATTATACTGATCCTGTATATTGTTTGTGCGTGTACTTTTTAATAAAGAAAATCAAGACTGGTAGAACACTATGTCGAGCAGAGTTTTTCATTGCGACTCGTACGAAACCTGATGGAAGCTTTGTATGTGAGGAGGCAAAAACCCGTGCGGTAATTAGTTTTCACCATTGGTTGCTTATTAATCTGAACATTAGTTTTTAAACAAAACTTATTGCTAAAAAGAACGAATATCAAAGAAAACAATTTTTAAGTTGTTTTTGTGTAGTTTGGAGGATTTACTGGTTAATTATACTGGATATTTATGTGTCTTGTTGTTTTTAGGAAGCACTTACAACGTTGATGAGGCAAAATCCGCGAGTCATAAACAATGTTACAGCTAGCTTGGATGATGAATATACTCAAGTGTTTGGTCCAGAGCGTCCATGACGAGTCCGTTGTGTTGGTCGTGGACCCACACCTTCAAAATTAGCAAGACGCTCTACTGCAACTAGACCAGAGATAGAAAATTCTCAAAAAGTCGTTGAGCTGGAGAGACAAGTGACATGATTAGTTGATCAAGTCAATGGATTGACTTCGTTCGTCCAACAGATACTTGGTTCTTCAACCCCTGAACAGGTATAATATAACGATAATCTTAAGCTAAAGTGCACTATTATAATATTATATATAACTAATATATTAACTAAATATTTAGGCAAGGATATGGGCGAGAAGTTTTGCAACAGCTTTTGCAGAAATACCAAAACCAGCTTTTGCAGAAATACCAAATCCAGCTTTTGCAAACGTACCAAGTCTAGCTAATTCTTAGGTAAATGGTTCTTACTTTAAATGGATGATGCTTAACTGTTTATGGATATTTAGATGATAAATATAATTGTTGTATGATTGTTTTTTCCAGGAAATGGATGATGGTGCTAATGGATATGAAAACGGATAATGGGGATGATGGGGCCAATGGATATCAAAACGCTTAAGAATTGAAACCATGCTAGACATGATGAATAGCTTAGCAATTATAGTTTGTTTATGTTTTATGCATTTTCATTTTGCGCATGGACGAATCATGTAATCTGTTTTTTAATACATTAATTAGTAATTTCTTTGGTTTTTCGTATTTAATCAATACTTTTTAGAATTTTATAAATACATCAAATAAAATAGGCCATTTATGTTGTAAATCAAAATTAATATTCTCATCGGTTGGTATAACTAACACTACCGATAGTAATTCTTGAAATCGGTGAGTATAAATGATAAAAGAATTAAAAGCACTTAAAGAAATTGACACTAAGTTTAGCCTCAATTATTTACAAGTGATAGAAAAACTAATATCAGTTATCATAACTGGTACAAATACTAACATCATTTATCGAAACTGATTTAAAAGTTAACATCATTTTTCGCAATTGATACATATATATTGACATNGGTTACAACAATTGATGTAAATGTTTTACATATTTGTATCGATTACGTATTAATTGATGAGAAATATTTGCATCGACACTTTCAGAATCACTTTTTTAAGTGATGCAAAATGCATTTACATCATTTATAAGTAATGCAAATATTAAAAATAAATGATACAATTTGACACGTTTTTTGTAGTATACTAACATTGAAACCATTTTTTGTTTATATTTTCCTTTCATAAAAAGTTTCTCTAACTCGTAAATAGTCATTATTTCCTTCCATCAATAAATTTAACATTTCATTAGAAACAAAAACATAAATGTAACACTTAAATATTCATATATGGTACAAACTGTAGATTCGTTTTTTTCATAGGAAATTTTCAAAAATCTTAATTTTATATTAATTTATTAATGCCAAGAGTACAAAAGATAAACCCAAAATCAACAAAATTCACAAACTTTGATCCTTAAAACAGAAAACGGAGAATTAAAGAAAAAATCCAAAATGTTTTATAAAATTTTTGACATTTATCTCTCAACAACTATTTCATATGTAAAATATTAGTTAAGAAATGATTAAGGCTGAGATTTATGCTAGTAATATATAAGAGATATTTCAAATTTTATGAATGTTATGGCACTATATTTAATGTTTTAGATTAATTAAATATTAAGTGGTTTAAAACGATCCATTTGACTAAATATGTAGATTTTAAAGGGTACTAAACCCTAATATAGCACCCTAAACTTTCACAGATGTACATAAAATATTGAAAAATTTATATTTCTTGCTAGTATGGAACATAAAATGCGAACTTTGAAT